TAAATGAAAGAGATTTTGTGCATGAGTTTATTTCATCACTTACAATGTTTTTTGTAACTGTAGTTTGTTATTTATTTTAAAAGTTTAAATTTGAAATATTTTCAAAACTAGATCTTGCAATTAATTTGTCCCAACTCAATATAATAGGACCTGCCCACCAATAGATCTTATGGGGTTGGATTATGACAAAGATCCGGCCAGAAGAGGATGGAGAAGCTTAAGAACCAAGGTGACTAGGGTTTCAATAGAGAAAAAACCCCTTTGTGTTCCTGAAAAGTTTTTAGGGTTTGTAGCTTTATTTTGAAAATGACTGAGCATACAGTTAATGAATGCTTTACACTTAGAGATATTTTTTAAATTTGTTGAATAGCGAAATTATCAAATATTTCTTTTATTCTTTTCGGCTTCGTCCATCCAGCACTCTATTTTTCGTGATATAGTTTCAACACAAAATTCTAACAAGTATTTTTTTGCTTTTTTTTTTATTTTCAATAATTTAATAATGCCATATACAAAGATATGGGTTCTATTGTTCAAGGAAATAGTATAAATATAAATTTAATATTTATACTATTTCCATGAGCTATAAAGCAAATAATATAAATATTAATCTTAACTATTTAAAAAATTATTTTTGTCTATTTACTCATAAACATTCATAAAATACATATATGTTAATATTATGCATGGAAATCCCTCCCAAATAAAAAAAAAATCAACCATTCATAGCAGATTTAAGGGTTGGAATTCATATATATATATATATAATGATGAAGTTAATTTTACATTTTTACCTCTATGTTGATATTGTAACAGCTACTTTCTAACTACAAGAATGATCAATTTTACTACACAGACGAGTTAATTGATTGTTTTTTAGTCTAACTCTTTATAAAGTTGCTGGAATTCTTTTATGAAATTTTCTCAGCATTTGAGTATATATGACTATTAAAAGTGTTCATTAATCGTGGTCAAGTGAAGATCTTGCTTATCTAGATAATTAGCTCAAATTTAACTTAATGGGGCAGAACTAACTTCTCTTTTGAATAACTCGTGTCCGAGTCTAAAGTTAATTGGTCAAACAAGAGCAAAAATTTTTGGCTCACTTATGTAACAAGTTGAGCTTAACAACACTTAAATGTGCTCAAATTTTACTCACTTTTACATACAAAATAAATGGTGGTTTTATACTCTAATAATGCCCATTACTAATGTTAGCTTTGTGCTTATTCTTAGTGAAATTTTTTGAGTTAAACTTTCTGATGGAAAATAGATGAATATCAATTAATTAAGAGTTTTTTTTTTTAATTATTGTTGTGTTTTGGAATATTCACGGTAACAGAGATATATAAAATTTGGCATTCAAACTTTGTACGAATATCCAGCACGCAGATAGATAAAAAGAGAGATACAATAATACTGTCAAGAATTCTTTGATAAAGAAGAAGGCTCTTCTTAAGCTTCTTAGAAGAGAAAGAGGGAGATGGAAGAGACAACTTGCAGGTAATCCTTTATTCCTTTTTCAAATGGGCTTGGTATTATCATAATAACCTATACATAGGAATTGGACACTGGTGTGGTGTCTTTGCAGGACAACTAACCTAAATCTGAATCAAAACCCAACAAATATTAAGTGACATTAGACTTTTTTACGTGAAAATCCTGAAAAGAGAAAAAATCATGGGGCATTTCCTAGTTGAAATAAATCCACTAGTGTTTGTAGTTGATTACATATGTGTCACTTCCTCTAGAGAAGGTCTAGGTCAATATAACAAATATAAATCATAACGGGCACATTACGGGGTTGAAGTTAGAAGAATCCAGTGACATGAGAGTTATTCTCAAGAGAATATTTACCTGTTCATTTGGTCAGTAGGATCGTAGGTGGGCGACGAAGGTCGGAAGGACCGTAGTCAGACAGACGAAGAAGGTTCGAGGGATCATAGTCAGGCAACTGAATGATGTCAGAGGGATCGTAGTCGGTGAGCAATGATGGTTGGAGGGCTCATAGTTGGTGGGCGAGGGTGATAAGAGGGATCATAGTCAACAGACGATCATGGTATGAGAAACTGGGCGACAGTGGTCGAAGAGTCCGCAGTTGGCGGGCCACGATGATCCAACAACAGTCAATGGATGAGCAGAGGTTCGACAGAGATCAGTTGATGAGTAGTGGCTCGACTACTATTGGTGAATGGATAGTGGTCGGTCGGCAGTCATCAAATGATCAGAGGTCCGATGACCATCAGTAGTCGGTCGATGGTCCATCGGTAGTCGACGAAAGTTCATCGGCTATGGTGCCTGGGTAGAACTCTAGGATCATTGAAGCCTCAGAGCTCTCTCCAATCTTTAGCCAAAAGTCCCCATCATGTTGAGAGTTTCTATTTATAGATTTTTGTGAATGGTACGCCATATAAATATGGACAAGATCTAGAGCTGATTCGGAGTGCTCCATCAGACGATCCATAATGATTCCCTCAATCATGGAATATTTTTCAAGCATTTATGTGCCTTAATGATGTCATAATTAAGAGATAATAGGCATATTGGATTTGTCTTGTCAAGCTGCTCGATTTGACTATAAGCATGTCATATTGAGATATCACATGATCTTCCAATTGATGCTTGGAAGCTTCCAAATATATTTCGATCCCTTAATTTAGATCCATTTGGACTCGAATTTGACAGATTTTGATGTTGCTTGGTTTGTCTCATTGAGATATTCAATTTGACTATAAGTTTACTAAAATTGGAGTTCAAATGATCCTGTATTTAATTTTAAAAATTTTCAACTTGAATATACCTCGAGATTTGTGCTGATTTAAGACGATTTTTGATGACGTATCAATTATAACTTCTAATAATCTTCTAAAATACCTAAAATGCTTCTAAAATGTGCCCCATCATATGTATCTCTACCAGATATATTAGAATAAGAAAAATTAAAAATGTCTAAAATAAAAAATGGGAATATATTTGTGGATGTGTGAAGGAAGCTCATAAATATAATTTTATAAATACATATTAAACATTTCCAACTAGACTTTATAAGAAAATATATTGCTAATTTATTTCATGTTGCTAAATTTTATGCATTAAACCTATTTTGTTTATCATCTAAACATTTTCATGATTTCAAATTACTGCTCTTTATAGTGCATGTTGATGAGATTTTAAATGATAAATTACATAATAACGTATCAATAAAAAATATATAGAAAAATAAGATTAAAGTATTTTGAATAAAATTAGATTAGAATAACTTTTAAATTTATTGATTTTATTTTAAAACAAATATAATAATTAATTAATAAATTAATTTTTATAACTTTTTATTTCAAAATAAATCCAACTATATTAATGGGATGTTTGGTTGCAAGGGAATGAGTGAAAATGAAATACGCGCTTTACTTCTTTTTTTTCTTATAAGTAAGATGAATGTAATATAAATGGTAAAGGACAATTTTTAAAATTAAATATCATCTTAATCATAATTAAGTGATTAACCAACATTTTAAAAAATTTAAAACTCGGAAAGGATAAGTCGCCCATTAAACGGGCGACTTACCCTATTTACTTTATCCCCTCCCGACTCCTCAGTTCATGCCCTATATTCGCGAACGAGAGCAGCCGACGGGAGTGGGAGTTCGCGAACGAAGAGCAGAGCCGACGGGTAAGCTTCTTTGTAATTTCTTGTATTTTTTTTTTTTTTTTAAATTGCATTCATTTAGTAGCCTTCTTCGTTAGAGTGTATTATGTTAAAAGTTCATGTGTGATTTAGTGCTAAGACTTAAGATTTGTATGTGAGATGTGTTTTTGCAAAAGATTGAAGATAACTTTGATTTTTAGATAATACTTTGTTGTTGCTACGATTTGTTTGGGTAAATGTAGAATGATATTATTTTGAGAGATATATTTTTGGGTAAATATATTTTTGTAATAATTAGAGTCTTAGGAAGTTAGAGGGATTAAAAGAAATTTTTTAATAAAAGTATATTTTCAAAATAATATTTTAAATATATTTTCTAAAAGAAACTTATTTTTTATAATACAAACGATCGTAGATGGAGTAATGTGACTGCAAAACCATGTTATTTTTTTATTTTTTATTTTTTTACAATGTAAATGCTATTATATTTTGTAAAGATATGTTACAAAGTTTTTTAAAATAAAATTTTATATAGGATATCATTATCAATACGTAGTATTCCACAATGTCTGGATGGGGAGCATCGTTTGTCTTACGTATGGTAAACAGTTGTCTTTAGATGATAAATATTCACCAACATATATTAGGGGGAGGAACCAGCCCTTGCAAATGTTTGCTAAGATGAACTTAGCGCAATTGAAGATTATGATTTTGAAAGCCCTTAAATATGATATGTCGAAGTACACAACAAATTTGGTTTGTCGTCTGCCATTAGGGAATGAATTCATAGTTTCGACTGTCGAGGATGATGAGGTATGTCAAATAGTGTTATCGCATGCAATTGAGTCAGCATTGAGTACAAAAAGGCACCTGTTTAACAGACGAGTTTGGCGAGTTTAATTTTTTTCGTTGGTTAATCGCTTAATTATAATTTAAATGATACTTAGTTAAAAAATTGCCCAATTCTAAAAAGATTGTGATTGAGGTGGCAAACGACCACTGGTGGGTAGCTCCGACGTCGGGGGTGGGGTGGGCGAGACAGCGACGGTCGGAGGGCAGCATGTGGCGGTGGAGGCGGTGGCCATCATAGGTGATCAAAGACACTTGAGCGATGTAAAGTGTTCTCACTCAAATTGTACAAATATGCTTTACCTCAAAAAATGAATTAAAATAAAATATACTTTATTTAATTTACTTTATATTAGATTTATTTTTCATCCAATCAAATATTAAAAAAATAAAAAATAAAATATTTATTTCAGTTTAGATTAAATTTTATTCCATCCAAACGGCCCCTAAATTTAAGTTGAGGTTGATTTTGTTTTGAAGTGGCTGGGAATATATATATATTTTTTTAAAGTGGTCTACTTCTCTACTTTCCATAACAAGGCGGTAACAGCCATCGTCATCGTCGTAGTCGGCGACGGCGGTTATGTCAACGATGGGGGCGGAAAGATGCACTCTAGTGCTAGTAAATTTAGCCGGAATCATGGAACGCGCCGACGAGGCGCTGCTTCCGGCCGTGTACAAGGAGGTCGGGGAGGCGCTGAACGTGACACCTTCGGGATTGGGCATCCTCACACTTTTACGATCGTTCGTGCAGTCGGCGTGTTACCCGCTCGCTATGTACATGGCTGTAAGGCACAATCGGACACATGTGATCGCCATTGGAGCCTTCCTTTGGGCGGCGGCTACTTTCCTCGTTGCTTTCTCCTCAACTTATTGGGAGGTATCGCCCTTAACTTTTTCGGATCTAAATTTGTTTGGATTCGTGACTTACATGTTCGGTATATTAGGCCATGGAAATAGAAGGGAAGGGCTCGGTTTTAAGGCATTATAATGGATCGTAGTTTCTTTTTATGGTTGGACTGAGTGCATTGCAATTCTTCTTGCAAGGGGGTAACGTAAGTGAATGTAATTAGGGTTTTTGCTATGAGGTATTGAGGGAGATTCTAACTGGAAGGGCTTTTTTGAAATTAAGTTGTTTTGCTTGTTGTTGCATATTTACTTGGTTTGTTTTATTATTACTTTTTTAATGCATTTGGCGGTTTTATAGAGTGGATGTTCTTAATGAGATTAGGTTTTTGTCGGGAAGATCGAGTAATGCTTGGCTTGGTATATGGAAAAGAACAGAGATATCAGGATGTAGATTTAATATTTGCGGCATTGAAGTGATTTTTCTGAATGTCAACGTTTGTTGCTTACATTTGCTTTGTGAGGTTAAAGTGATATAATGTTAGTCATCTTGGGCTTTTGTTTTTTACGAGGATTTTGAGTTGATTTTCTTTTCTTGTTCCACTGAGTATTATTTAGAACTTTTTATTAGAAACGTGTGATGAATGGATATGGATGTGGTTTGTTTAGAGTTAGAGGAGCATGATCTGATATTCTGATTCGTAGCAGATTTATAGTACCTTGAGTTGGTTCTGTGGTTAATTTGCATGCTAGTCTTTTCCCCTTTCTTTCTTTGTCTTGTTTCCACCAAATATCAATCAGTATTTTGTCTTTTCGTAAGGATACTTAATGCTGTTTGGATTTTAACTCATTACTTTTGTTATGCTAACCAATAATTTAAAATAGATAATTTTAGGATAAGCACAATTATTTGTTGTTTTTGGGCAAAATTATGTTTTGAAGATTGCTACAAACTTTGTTCTTGTGAAGAGCTCCCAGTTTTTTATATTTGAAGAACCTCCTTAAACTCCTTTAAATTAAACAACAAAGGGCCGGACCTATCATTAGGCAAATGCTTTTGGATGGTGCATTAGTCCGTAGAGGAAGGGTCGGCTGCAAGTGCATTTTGTGTGCGTAAATTGTGGTCATTAGTTGAATCAAATCGAGGTGGAATAGTTTGGTGAAAGAATTAGAGGAAGAGAATGACAAAATTTAATCAAAATTAATATTTTTATGTTTGCCGTGTACTACTATCTTGATGTTTTACAAGCGCAATGGTACTAGAAATATTATGACAATTTCGAAGGCATGTAAGAAGATACTCATTTGATGAGCATTCAATTGAAAATTTTCTGGTATTAAATAATTCTTCTTTGTTTATTCTCTCTTTTGTATCATTCTCTCTTTTGTTTCGTTGAGAGATTCGTGATTTATCTTTACATGAGTGACAATGCTTATGCAAGGCAGCTAGTTTTGGCAAGTTGAAGTTAAGGATACATGTTGTGATTAGAAATTTAATACGAGTTAGGCATGTATGAGACCTTACAAAGAATCATATTACTTTGAGTTCTCTTAGTCAAGCAGGTTTCCAATTCTCATTAGTTGTTAAAGTTCTTAAAGTTTGGAAGGTTGATGCTGGTTGTGATGGGGACATCAGCTCGTGGAAAGTTTATCAGAGGCGTGGCCGCCGATCTACGGCCACGATCGAGTCTTTATATTTCTGAGTTATTCATGTATTTTCTACTTTCGCGTATTTGTTTTATTATTTTCCAGTTGTACCCTTTGAGTGGGAACAGTATGTAAGCCCAGAGGGCAAGTTTGTCTTTTATTATCTTGAGTCATTTGTACTTGGCTATTTATAGCCTCATGCCTTATGTTTGAAGTTAATGAATGATTGATTACAAATTTTCTTCTTGCATGAGTTCTTGTGAGAGCTTGAGAGTTCTAATGGAGAGAGATCCCTAGGAAAGGGAGATTGGCGCAATACCCATCAACTTTGATAAGTCGGGTTCATGGTTCTTTCCCCTACCTCTTTCCCCTTTCCCTTTCCCTAGCCGCTGGATTTTCCCCACTCACCCGAGCCCACTTCCTCCCCCTTCAACCCCACGGCCAAATCCCCACCTAGCTGCCGGATTTCCCCACTCACCCGAGCCCACTTCCTCCCCCTTCAACCCCACGGCCAAATTCCCATACCCGAAACCCCTATACCACCGATCCCACCTCCCTAGCCGCCGGCCCAGTCCACCCCCAACCCCTTTCCCCTTGAAGTTTCCTAGTTGGGTTGATGACTAAATTGGGATGATTTTGAAATTCAAATCCTTTGAATTTGAAATAAAAAATCTTTCCCAATTTAACTACTCTATTTTAGGAAAGTATTTGAATGAGATCCCTTTGAATATTTTTATTCATTTGGATTTAAATTAAAACTTTTCTAATCCCAAAACTTAAATTAGGAAGACTTAATTAACCTCTCCAACATGCATGCCGCCGGCCCCCTCCCATGCCCCATTAAGACTCATTTAATTATGTCCTAAAACCTATCCCTCACTTAGGAAATAATTTCTAATCCCTTAATTCCCTCTTGGCCGAAATCCCCTAGATCCCTCTTTGGATTAATTTGTTTCTAAAAGTAATATCCTTACTTTGGAAATAGATCTCAATCCCCTCTCCCCCTCCTCCTAGCTGCTGGCCCCATCCCTGTTTCCCGCCCCTCTCTCTCTCCAATCTCCCCTCTCCCACATTAACCCCACTTGAATTGAAGCCATACCTCTCCCTCTAAATTCCCTATCTCCTAACATAGGAAATATGAAAATTCCTTCAGTTTTTTGGATCAAAATCTGAAACTATTCTCAGATTTTTGAAAAGAGATTTGGGAACTTTTTCCTCTCCACTTGCAAGAGAAACTTCTTTCTCTTCGGCAACCTTCAAGAACATTAGCAAGACGAAAGGAGATTTGCCTCCTAGCTCCCATGAATGGCGGATCCCGCAACTGAATACGGCTTAACTCGGGACGAGGACGGGTTCACCGATATTTTACGATCAACTTTCTTCGACGTGAATCCAAGGGTTGATCATACCGTCGAGGACTACTTGGAGCGTATTCTGGACACCTTAGTGGAAGCAATCGATGAGCACTTCGAAGGCGTCGAGTGGAGGATCTCCACCACTCCTTGACGGGAGGTTCTCTTTTCCCCTTTTCATTATATTTCTCTAGTCTAACTCTATCTTGTGCTTGATTGTAGTCACAAAGACGACTCCCCCTACTACTGCTAAGCTTAGTAAACGTAGGGTTTTGAGCATGCCTCTTTGCTAACTAATTTCATTGTTAGATTAGGGATTGTATATGAAACTTCTATTATGGAATCATGTTGTTTTCTAACTTGTTTTGAAAGTTTCAAAGCTCTTGTTTTGTGATTTAGCCTAAGCAGGTGTGATCCCTTATTCGTTTTGATTTGTCGTTCAAACTGCTAATTAGTTATTTCACTTTTATTCTAATCAAGGATTGTTCAACTTCCTGATCATTTGATTGCATTCATACGTAGTCCTGCATCAGGTTGTCATATAAGAAAAGGGAGTTTGTGAACTCTATGCATTATGGGATGCAAATTTAAGTGAATTTACTTATATTTAATCATCCTATGTATTAGAGTATCATGATTTGGGGAAACAGATAAATGTTAGCTTCTTGATTGAGGCTATTGCTTAGGAATAGATAGGTCACAAATTGAGGGGAGACCATTAAAGATGATCAAATAGATCAAGCCCATATTGTACAGTCTATCCTAACTCCACATCATACCATTGCATCAATCAGAGTATTGGGACAACTACATTGGGATATAAATATTTAGTGAAAATATCCTTTCAATGTCAGTGGATCCACTAGTGTTTAGTAAATTTGCATCAAAAGTCCTAATTGTTAAGTTTAGACATCATTTAGGCTTGTTAAAGTTGTGTAATGTATAGTCTATCAGAGCTTTGTGAGTCTAAAGAGCTTGATTTAAAGAGAAGTCATATAGGAGATTCAAGTTATTGCCAATTTATTGAGTAAGCGATAGATTTTTTTTTAACTTTTGGCTTATTTATTTTTTTAAGGATAAGTAAAACATAAAATAAATTAAAAATAGCACATATTTTACATATCTCGGGTCATTGTTCAAAGCAATAGTGAAATAGATGGGGATATTATTAGTATAATTAAAGTTGGATGGTTGAAGTGGAGGAATGAATTGGGCATGTTTTATGATAGAAAAGTACCCCTCAAAATTATACAAAAATTCTATAAGATTGTGGTGAGACCTACAAAGCTTTATGGCGAAAAATGTTGACCCTTGAAATAGAAGCATAAAATTAAGTTAAGTGTTGTAGAGATGAGGATGCTCTAGTGGATGAGTGATTTTACACTTAGAGACATAATGCAAAACGAATATATACATGGAAAGGTTAGAGTAGCTCTAGCGGTAGATAAGATTAGAGAGAGTTGTCGTAGATGGTTTAGCACATAAAACAATGGCCTTCCGATGGCCTTTTTTAGGAGAGTAGATGTGTTAGATTTGGCCTATATTAAGAAAGGTAGAGGTAGAGTTAAAAATGCTTGGTTAGAAAATAATTAAAGTTAACATTTTTATTAGATTAATGAGAATTTTACTCTTTGTAGGTCACAATGGAGAAAAAGAATTCATGTAGCCGACCCCAAGTAGTACGATAAAGGCTTGATATTGTTATTGTTGTTGTTGCAAGCAAAACATTTAATATAAATAGTTTCAGGCTAACCATAATTTATCATTAGATTGTTGAAAGTTTGTTATAACTTTTCTATTTTGATTTGCAATAACTTCTTTAAACTCATATAAATAGGAGAGCATAGAGTTAGACTTATTATTAGGGTGAGTGTTTTTGGTTGGTGGATCGATGGCCTTACAAAGGGTCGATGGTGAGTATACTTGACGTGCAGGAAAAGTGACTCACGATAAGGATTATATAAGACTAGCTGCTGAAATAAAAAGTGGGATATAATTTAGAGAAAAAATGAGATAGTGAGAAAGAGAGAATTTTTTTTTTCTATGATCATGGAGTAATATATTTCTATGATGCAAGAATTGTGTTTCCAGAATTGTCATAGCAATTCCATAGACATGTAAAAGATACCCTTTTGAGGAGCACTTAAGTGATTTTTTTTTTTTTTTAGTTGTATCTTCTTTGGTTATGATTTTTTTTTGGCTTTAGAGATTTGAACTTCTCTTTTTTTATTAGATTGCGTGTACTTAAGTTTGGACAATAATTTTTTTTTTTATACCTCATTTATTTGAACACTTGTGTATTTTTTTCTATATTAGATCAGTTACTCTCATCTTTTGTGAACCTAGTCTTTTTTTAGCCAAATCATGTAATTCTTGATTTTTTGCGGTGCTTGGTCTCTTTATTGCTATTTTTTGTGCTCATCATATTTGTTTTGGTAGGTGCTTCTTCATAAGAAGTTAGTTTTCTTCTAACAGATGCTTGAGGAGGTACAAAATGTTAGTCAAGAAGGGTTTGTTCAGGACAACTTTCTATCAACTTTGCTTTTCAAATAGTAACCGCACTAGCATTTAGCTTATAGTTTTTCTATTGCATTTATTTATTTATTTATTTTTGTGTAGAACAATTTTCCTTCGTTTATCTCATTAGAATTCTAATAATGCGACTGTGTTCTGTAGTTCCTCAATCTATGTTTTAATAATTATATTGATATTAAAAATATATATATTATATCTCTTGCAACCATTTCACAACTGATTTTACAGACAACTGTGCTTGCCCTAAATAAGACATTAAGAATCATGATTTTGAATAAAAAAAATTATATTGACTATAAAAATACATATAAAAGGATTTGAAACACTTCAGTGTTGATGCTATTAAAGATATAGTGTAGTTATTATTATTGTAAGTTGTAAGTTATTATTAAGTGATCAAAGAATTTTTAATTGTTCGTGCATTCATTTGTGTATGTAAATTCTATTGACAATGCCCGAAGATCACGTTTTCATCTTCTTAAACATCGTCCTTAGTCAAACTGTATGGGCTAGTATGAGGTAAATGAGCACAACATGCAAATTTCGGCTATAATGAATATAACATCCACCCATATATCGGTAATTCAAATAGTTCACACACGACCGTGATTAGTTAATGCAGAAACTTTGTAGGAAACGAACATAGAACAATGGCTATATTCTAATATTTTTCTTATTTATACTTTCTAGGAAACGCACAGAACAAACTTTATTTTTACGCAGTTACTGTTCATTAATTTAGAAATTCCCACTATCAAACTATGGGCTTGATTCATTCATTTTGTTCATAATGGCTAGCATATTTTTCACAGCAAGTTGTATTTTCAGATTGCATTCTCAAGAGCCTTGAATGGCATAGGGTTAGCCTTGGTGACACCAGCAATCCAGTCCCTTGTTGCAGACTCCACTGATGACAATAACCGTGGTTCAGCTTTTGGATGGTTGCAATTGACTTCCAATATAGGTTCTATACTTGGTGGTTTCATCTCTCTCCTACTAGCATCAACTACATTCATGGGAATTGATGGCTGGAGAATTTCCTTCCATCTTATTGGAATCATAAGTGTAATTGTTGGAATATTAGTCCGCTTTTATGCAGTTGATCCCCATTTTTCTAATAGTACAAGTCCAGGTGGCGTCCCCCCTTCATCCTACTCTATAGCTTCTGAAGTCAAAAATCTTCTTAAGGAAACGAAATCTGTCATTAAAATTCCATCGTTTCAGATCATTGTAGCCCAGGGAATCACTGGAACCTTCCCATGGTCTGCCCTGGCATTTGCACCGATGTGGTTAGAGCTTATTGGGTTTTCTCATGGTGCTACTGCAGTTCTTATGGCTATGTTTGTCGTCGCAAACTCACTTGGAGGATTAATTGGTGGAAAATTGGGAGATTTTCTTGCAGTGCGCTTACCAAACTCTGGAAGGATAATATTGTCACAGATAAGTTCTGGCTCAGCTATCCCATTTGGAGCTTTGTTGTTGCTGGGATTGCCTGATGACCCTTCCTCAGGAGTGGCGCATGCTATTGTTTTGTTCACCATGGGATTGAGCATATCGTGGAATGCTGCTGCCACGAACAAGTATGTTATATTTCTTCGATTCTACATTTATAGTGAACTTTTGATTCTATTGAAATAAATTTACAGCAATGAGGATTCTTTAGATAAATCCTAACCTTGAATTTTTTTTCCTAAATAAAATTATTGGGATGACTTAAGTGCTGTGATGAATAAAATAAATTGTGCAATTATGATTACTAAAAAATGCTTTACAATGGGCCTTCTATTCTCTTTTTTTTTTTGTGTTCTAATGTAAGATGCTCTTAGATATAGTTTTTTTGTCCCTTTGGTGCCTAGTGAGTAATTTTGAGGTTTATAGGTTGATAGCCTATAATTTCCCCTGTGAAATATCATTGAATAAAATCAAATTTGATATTTTATAGAGCTAGATAAGTGTCATGTGCCGTGGCCTAACCTGAAAGAGTTTGCTTGGATGCCACAACTTAGTCTTTATATGATGAACAGTGCTTAGAGGTTTAGGGTGTAGAGTATTAGGCAAGGATTTAGGGGTTTATTGAAGAGCTTAGTAGGGCTTATGGTTTTGTGGGTTTGTATAATTTAGTTTTTAATGGTTCTAAAGAACACTTTAAAAGATCAAAATTAAAAAAAAGTGATATATAATTGGGATTTATCAAAAAAAAATCACTTTATAGAAGTTGCTAAAATTAAACTTTTAGCCCATGTGAGTTACATCTGTTGTAACGGAACCGCTAAATTTAATATAAAGCGTCTCCATGATTGAGGTATGATACGCCGCAAACACAAAAGAGATGGATAAAAGTAGAAACAAAGACACTATAATTTACATGGTTTGACTTGAACTAAGCTTAAGTCCATAAGACAGGAGGATCTGATCATCATTTAGGAAGCCACAAATGATTTACAATAAAAAACACTCACTTGTCCCTCCCAATATCTGAGTACATCCTCGATCAACAAATAATAAGCTCAAAAACACCCTTACAAGTTACAATTATGTTTACCTTACAACAAGATGATAACTTCGTTATTGACTTGAAGAAACTGAGATATCCTCCCCTCTTTTATCCGTTAAACAGTCTCAAGCTTTAATGCCATAAGGTATCTCTTCTTCAGTCACGTGCACCATGAAAATTTAGCATAGAGGATGTGTCTAAGCCACCAGTTCGCAAAAGAAAAAAAAATCCTAGTTGTTGAGAGGGTATATAGAAACTGAGGATTCGAGTTACAAAAATTAAGGATTCTTCCCTTGTGCATGCAAATTGAGAGAAAATTGCATGTGAACTAGAGAGCTTTCATTGATCTCATCACATGCCAACCTTAATCTTAAGAACTCGTCAATCCCAATCCTACGAAATCCAATGCAATATTTCCAAAGAAAAAATTCCAAGGTACTCAGATATTCGATTAATCTATTATTCATAAATTGAGAATGTTATTGGTATAACATATTTTAAGCTGCACCTTTTTTGCTAGAAAAAGGGCACCTCGAATGGGGATGAATTGTGTGTGCAATTCTATACTTTGGACTTATTTCAAAATCTTCGAACTCAAGACATATATAACACACACAACTTAAGATATTGTCGTAGGAATCTATGTAGAAGCTTAATGATTGGATAAGTAAAGCACAAAACTAAATACAGCTTGCAAAGTTAGACTAAGGTGTATGATGAAAAATTGAGGAAGTAAATGAGTCTATGATTTATTCAACATTAATGTAAAACTCAATAGAATAAGCTATTCTAATTAATTCATTAACACCAAGCTATCACACAAAAATCTACACACAAGATAAACTTTGGGGATCAAAATGTATTTAAAATATTTAAAGCACAATTAGATGTGTTAACTCAAAAATCAGGCATGTAAGTTTAAACTATTGTTCAACCTTAGGCAGGGGTGGAACCGGCCTTGATTCTTAGGCGGCGGCGGCGGGGGGGGGCAATTGCCTAAGAACTCCTATAAAATAAAGAGTAAAAAAAGGATGGAGGGGAACAAATTACCTAAATATCTATGTAATAAACAATTGCACCCCCCCCTCCCCCGGGGACTAGGTGGCTCCGCCCTTGGCCTTAAGGTGGGGTTTAAAATTAGATTTGACCATTTTAGAAGAGAGATTTGACTAGTCTAAAAGAGTAATTAGGTGAGGTTGTAGTGGTCCTTGTGGCGTGGATACCATATAGACATCATAGGAAAAAAGTTGGACAAACCTAAATTTGAATGGGTTCAGTTAGCTTAAGTTGACCATTTAAACAAGAGAATTTTGATCAAGATTAAATTGGTTGACTAGGTGAGGCTTTAGTGGTCCAGTTGATACTGTCTTATGACTCTCAAGGTTCATGGTGGATATAGCCTATTCACATTGGATGAGGCCTAATTTAGCTAGTCGATATGAGTATATCTAATTTAGGAAGTTCTTATTCAAAGGTTGACCAGTGGTGAAATAGGTTGACCCCGATAAACTTTAGTGAATCCCTTAAGATTTTGGGTCAGGTAGTCAACTAGGATCTAACCTAAATTTCAAAATTTAAAGAATAACTACTCCAAGCCTAAATAGGCTAAGAGTTGACTCGGTCTATCCTAATGGGGTTAGGGCTAACCTAAGGAGGCTCATTGGGCCAAGCCATAAAGAATGAGTCCTAACATCTCTAGTAAGGCTCAGATAAAGCTGGGTTCACCTAGGTTTTGCACTAAACTAAGAGGATGAATAGGACTGATTGCTATGCTAGCAAAATGAATATAGGTAGATCTAATATGGGCTAGGACAAGGATAAATAGTTATGTGCTCTGCTAAAAATGATGCCAACATATGAACCTTTTATAGCTGTGATCTATTGGTAGGATAGGATATATTTGTGTTAGCAGGCGTACAAAAATATTAGATATGAAATCTAACTTGTTAGAGCATATATCCTAGTAGGTTCCAAAAGATTTATATATAAAATAAAAGCACATTATGCCAGTTGTAAAAATTCAATAAATATAAAATGCATTATATTGATAGTTTTTTCTTCTACAAAAGAAAGAAAAAATAAACTTTATAAAAAGTGTCAGTTTAAGCAAATTAATTGTAAAATATATATTTTAGTTATCTCTTCTAAAATTGAAGTCACTTTTAAATTTTTTAAGTGTTCTGCAGCATCACCATTCCATCATTATTATTTCACTTAATTCATGACGGATATGTTTGCTATATGTGTTCTTTATTTCTCCCACAATATTTTTGACACACATTGGATATATGTCGAGCATATGTAATTTCTTGCATGAACTTTGATATTATAAAACTTCGGTCCATCATAGTTAGCAGCTTGGAGCTATGCTTGAAGAAAATATTCTGGGTTTTCTTAGATTCTAGGTGTTGAGCTACTCATGTAGAATGTATGATTTGTATAGTAATAAAATGGCATGGTATAGCGGGAAGTTTTACCCTATATCCTCTTTTCATTTGAGGAATGAACTTATGCAAGTTGTTCTTTCTCTCTCTCTCTATTATCTAGTGACCTGCTTGACAAAGCCGGGCTTTTCCTGTAGCTAGAGAGTATTCCTAGCTTCCCTTTATTGTTATCTTTTATTTCTTTGCACTACGGTTTTCTTGAAACTGGAAGACAAGTATATTAAGTTCCTGCCTTGGAGATTAATCACTGCCATTTCTTACAATTATCAAATTGGCATTCTTCACTGTACTTGCAGTCCTATATTTGCAGAGATTGTCCCTGAAAAATCACGGACAAGCATCTATGCGCTGGATAGAACCTTTGAGACAGTCTTATCATCGTTTGCCCCTCCTGTTGTTGGCCTTTTAGCTGAGCATTTTTATGGCTACAAACCAAATCCATCTGGATCAAACAAGGATATCAGCATTGAGATTGACAGAGAGAATGCTACCTCCTTGGCTAAGGCTCTCTATACTGCAATAGCAATTCCAATGTTTCTCTGCTGTATTATTTACTCCTTCCTTTACTGCACCTATCCAAGGGACCGGGAGAGGGCTAGAATGCATTCCTTGTTGGAGTCCGAAATGCTGCAATTAGATTTGAAGATATCTGTAGATCAAATTGAATCAGAGCCATTCCAGAAAGAAGAGCTTGCGATTGGCAGGCCCTATGAAGAGGAAGAACATGAAGCTGCTGCAGATGATGAAAGAAGGCTACTATTTAGACTGGATTCTTCAAGAGGTGCAAAAGAGACCGATGGTATTTCTTGACATCTTATTCTCAGATTAAGTTGCAAGTTTTCTTATCTCCCAGAAAGCTTTTGATTGTTTTAAAAGTACATTTTAAAAGCTCAAAATCAAGGATATTTCATTGAAAAATTCATTAACAAAATATTGAAAGAGAAAAATGGTTCTCTTCACGGTGAATGTTCCTCATGCTAGCATTTTCATTCATTTCTTTTTTTTTTCTTTTCTTGTCTCGTTTGTTTATATGAATGTAAAGATTACTACAGACTGCAGAGAGAGCTTTTATGTATCAAGTAAAGTGCATTTACTTGGTATTACAATACTCTTCTATTGATATAATCCATAATATAGAAGATTAACATACATGTAAATTTGGTTATGCTTGTATTCCACTGTAATAGAACCATATTAAGCCTTCTTTTCTTAATTACTGTGCTAACTGGATTATTTAATTACATTGCCCCAACTGAGAATTTTGTTTCTGTTGATAATTATCAAAGCCTTATTTTCAGTTAAAATCAACTCTCCAGTTTTCAGGAGTTGAATAATCCCTGCCAGGATAAAATCATAATGACAACTTGAATGATCCTGTCCAAGTCTCTCTGTCGAATGTAGACATCAAAGAGAAATATATATAAGCTGAGAAAGAATTGTTGCCTATTGGTCAAAGAAAATTATTTCTCTAGACATTTTAAGAGACATTGTTCATCATTTTCAAAAAATAATTTTTTTTTTATAAAAACATTTGAATTAAAATTTTTATACTGTAAAAAATAATAAAAAAATTGTCTCAAACGAAACCTTCTAGACACAATTTTAAAATTAGGTCAAGAGACCTTAACCTACATCATATCAAGATAAATTTGAATGCAATCCATTTTATGCTAAGATTAACGCATATCTTTGATATCATATATTACATATATTTTTCTTATCCATAAACAATTTATGTTAAGATTATGATTTTTTTTTCCGTTAATCAGATAAGTGGAGAGGATCAGTCGCCCAAGCCCAGGCCATGCATGCACTTCAAGTTCTTAGTTGGGATAGCCATATGTATGTGCAGCTAGCACATCAAAATTTTGTACTAAAAGATTGCTTTAAGAAGCAGTATGAAAGCTGTCTCAAACAAAATTTAATTTTTGAGCAAAATGAAGATCGGCGAGCCCTAAACAAGCACGAAAAAATTATCGTAATTAAACCATTTTGAGTTTGACTAAGGAGAGAAAGTTCAAAGATGCGGCTCAGTGTAGACTTAATCCTAACTACCCTTTATATTGATTATCTTAATATTATCCACCCTTCATAATGACCCTACTCTAGAAGACGAGCAAAAATACAAAAAGAAAATAGAATTAGGAATGCTAAATATATATTGTGTGGCCGTTGATGACAGAGATTTGCGACGATGGTAGAGTCAATGATCAAATCTAATGAAGATCAAAAAGTCAGCGTAAATATGGGTAGAGGCGACAAAGTCTTCGTTTGGAGCTTTTTTTTTTACTGTTTTATAAAGTAGTTTTTTAGTATAAATATTTTTTGAATATGAAATTTTTTAACAAGAAAGCTGTTTTAGAAAGTAGTAAGAAAACTGTCCCAAATAAAACCTAAATCTAAGTCAATCATGTAGGGTTGAGCGAATATGGGGCCATGGCTTATAACCATGATGATCTAAAAAGTGTTAAAACTATACCTAGCACGTTGAGGCAGATGGTGTTGATTTGGAATTATTTCGCAAATCTAAATAAGCTTTGATTTAGGAAGTTTTAATGGTTAGTTAAGGAGTTGATTTTTCCTTATTATATGATTTGATTGGGAATTTGATTTGGGATTAGATTAGAAAGTTTTTCATAAATTGTTTTATCACAAATCTATTTAAAAGGCTTATGGGATGCTATATTAGAGAAAGAGAGAGCTTGAGAGCAATTGTAATTCTATTTGCTTGTAAAATATAGTGAAATTATCATTCCTTCCCCATGGATATAGAAATCTTCAGCAAACCACATAAATCGTCGTGTTCTTTGTGTTGTTTTATTATGTGTTTTTGTTTCCATTGTGTGTATGTTCGTATAAGAAATGGCTGGTAACCACCAAGATGTAGGCGAAACCATGCATTTCAAAAACATAAGTGAGATGAAGACATGCATTCGAACACACCAAAACTCAACTAGACCATCATTTATTATGAACCTAAATAGAAAATTGCATAAAAAACAGAAATAAAGAAGCTATATGATGATTGGGTAAATTTGAACCTGTATAAACTCCAAAATTCAAAGAAGAAAGAAGAGATTTGGCAATTCAAGGATACTAACAACTCCAAATAGTCATTGAAAGAAAGACAAGAATCGAAACTTTCATTCTTTTTCATACTATTTATTCTCTCTAATAATGATTATTACAAGATCTTAATGCTCATTTAAAGACCTAATAACAATCTAATAAACACTAATTACCTATGAAAAGGATTGACTACCAAGACCCACTGGCCCACTAACCTAATCCTAACAACCCATTACAATTATTAGCTCAACATATTATAAATGTCTCAGTAATTATACATATGCGATATTATCTCTCCAATGGATCTTAATTATGAACAAGAACAGTTTGTTGCATAGCAGTTTGGTGCATTCTAAAGGCTGTTACAGTTGATTGTAAAACTTATAAATATCTTAAAATAAAAAAGTCAGTAATGACATTTTAATTGTCACAAAAAATTCATCAAATCTATAAATATATAGATGAATTTACAATTTCCGAATATATATATATATGATTTAAATTAAAAAGATTAATGAGCAACTTACCCGTTCCCCTAAACTAGCGATTTTGCCTATTTTTTTGCACGTGTTTGATTAGCAAATTACGATGCTAGTGATGCTTAGTGTAAAATTTTACCCAAACTCTAATGGAATTTTGCAATTATAGCAATCTTTGGAATGCACGGTGCATTCGTTTTCAGAGTACATCAAACTATTTGGTGTATTCAATAAAATGCATCAAATTATTTGACTAATTTACTTCTTACTAAATTATTTTTATAATATGCTCATACAACTAATTTAAACATTAATAGTGTTCCTTAAAATTTCTTCCATATCATCACATGAAAATAAATATAAAGATTTAAAAGCTTTTCAATTCAGACATGGACTTGCCCTTTCTATCACTGTGTCGGTGATTTATTGCACTTTGATCCAAATACAAATAGTCCAACTACATTTCTAAATTATAAATTGCCACTTTCGTTTTAAAAGGAAAAATAATAATAAAAAAAAAAGCAGCAGATAACAATGGGATTCTCCCAACTTGCAACGAAACTAACATAATAATTCGCAGATGACCCATCAATAAATAATTACCTTAAAATACCTCCATGAAATATAAAAATATGGAACGCTCCTTTTCCTCTAACTTTTCTTTCCATCGTCCCCACCATCCTGCGTGTAGGCCTTCTTCCGTCGGTCGGCCCGACCCAGCCCGCATATTACGACGAAGCACGCTGCGTAGATCCCGTGCACCTTCCAATTGGCCCGCGGTGCGTCGCCTGTCACCGCGCGGTGAAAAACAGTAATGTAATAATGCATCCCCACCGCCAAGCCAAGCAGCATCTGTGCAAGGCTCACGGCCTTACCCGCAATTCCTTCCCCATCGCCGGCGGAGAACGCGACTATGAGAACGATCAGCTGCGCGATCAAGTAGACCACGTAGCCAAAAGTCTGCACGGCCTGCGTCCACGCGTATGCGCCAGGAGAGGCGGCGTAGAAGAATCTGAGCGGCTCGAGTCCCGTTACTACGGCAGTGAGGGAGAGCGTGGCGAAGTAGATGGCGAGGTAAGCCTGGCCGAAGAGGAGGCAGCGGTAGAGGGAAGCGGAGCTTCCGGTGCGGAGCAGGTGGCGGAAGAGGGCGGAGACTAGAAGCAAGGGGAGAATGAGTAGACCCGCGGAAGCCGCGGAGGCAATCGAGGGTGCGTATTTTTTCCCGACGAAAGGCTTTACTCCGGCGGCGATCTCGCGGTGGGTTTTGGATAGGTAGAGCCTCGATGTTGTGGAGAGCTTGTGAAGATCAGGAACAATGGCCGATTGGAGACGGGAAGGGAGATCCCGGAACTCCGCGATGATGTCGTCATCGTCTCCGGCAATTTCGTTGTCGTCAAGCCAGTTTTCCGACGAGGCTTTAGGTTTTGAGGATTTGGGTATGGATTTAGGTTTAGCTGTGGGCAGATCTTTCACATCGTGGTTCTTCTGAGTTTTGGAAGCAGGATTTGGCGATTTGATTTGATGGGATTTGGTGGAATTGGACTTGAGGGGGAAGGTTTTTGTGGAATTGGATTTGAGGGGTTTGATGGGTTTGAGGAGCTTGGTGGTGTTCGATTTGGAGGCGATGCTGGTTTTATTGAGCTTGGCCTTGGGAGAAGTGGGAATGGCTGTTAGGGTTTTGTTAAGCTTGGATTTGGCGGTGGATGAGAGTGTTTTGTTGAGCTTGGACTTTGTAGTGGGAGTGGAAATGGTGACCGAGAAGGGGGAGATGGTGGAATTGGTTTTCTTCGGTTTGAGTGATTTGGTTTTGTTCACTGGTGCGAGGGATTCTGAAACAGGTTTCTTCTTGGGAGGGGTTTTGGATTTGAGGATTGGAGAGCTGAGATCCTCTTTGTAGCTAATTGAAAGGAGATTTCTTTTGGGTTTCGGCTGGACATTGTTGTAGGAGGAGATTGAAGAGGGGAGAAAGGTGGAGAGGAACATGAAGAGGAGGAGGACGGTGGCTGTGGCCTGATAGGAAAGGAAGGAAGCCATTTCAGTCAGTAGAGGGGGTGTCGAAGAGGAGAAGACGCGAACGGAAGAGTGAAGTTTTATACAGCTATGCAAGCCGGGAAGAGAGTTAGAAAGAGACTAATAAATTTCTTTGACCTCTTGGTCGTCTCGGAGAGAAAGAAGAAAGGTTGATGAGAGAGAATGTTGAGATTTGCGAAATTGGATGGACAGTTCACACACACATGAAGAATGAATAGACAGTGGAGGCTGTTGCCTAAATCAAATTTTAAGGTAAATTTACATACATATCATTTTATATTATCCTATTTATATATCTAATACTCAAAATTTTAATATTACATATATATCACCCTATATCTAACACTCAAAATTTTAATATTACATACATACCACCCTATATTATTTTAATATCAAATATGTCACTCATATTTCCTTCATTTCACTCATATATTTAATTTCTACCACTTATATTTGATATGAAAATAAATTATGGGTAATATGCATGTAATATTAAAGTTTTAGGTGTTAAATATATAAAACGAATAGTATATGATGAAATGTATGTAAATCTCATTTAAAATTGTTATACTAAAAAATTATTTTAAGAAATAGTAACAAAATCGTCCCAAACAAAATCTTATCAAATTAAACATCGTAATAAGGCAGATATAACAAGATAAAAAATGATCAAATCCAAATCTAAATGACATTTAATTAAGGGCCTAAGGTGTAGTTAAAATTTTCAGGAAGTTAATAAAGGACCAAGTGATCTCTTACTTTTATAGGCTTTACAATTAAAACAATTATATTTTATGAGAGAAATCTAATAAGGTCAAAATCACTTAATCCAAAGTCAATAAAACACTTAAATATTGAAAGAATTGTCTATGATTAAAAAAATTAATTTGTTCATGGATTATTTTATCCATTAGGCTAAAATAAATTTACTAAAATGACATTCTTAAAAATTATAAAGAGATCCTGATTCTCTATGAAGAGAACATTGATGTGAGATTGGAGAGAACATAGTGATATAAAGAATTTTAAAGCTCAATTGAACATCCGACACTGATAATCACATTCAATCGACACCACGGTCTAATTCAAGGGGCGGACCAAACCTCTATATTAATGATTTGCTTAATATTAATCCTAGCAATCATTTAGCTATGATGCCTCAATTGGAAGCTTGGGTTTCTCGGCCCGAGCATGATGCCACGCATGGATGGCCTCACTGTGGCTTTGAGGCATGTTGGAAATGTTTCTCCTCATGTTTTTGTCAATGTTGATCAAGAAGAATTGTTGGTTTCTGATAAAACTCATTTAATTGGCTTACCTTCTACTCCTACTTCTAATGTTGATGTTACTGTTTTGTGGTGTGGGGATTGCTTGGTTGACATTCCTGTTGGCCATGCAGATTGGATTTGCTCGCAATCAGGCGAAGACTGGGGTTCTAAGGGAACTCATGGTGATTTATCTAATTATTTGATTGATGATTGCAATTTAAATGTGGTTCAAGTGATTGCTGAGGGTTTCTCTATAAAGGTTGGAAGGAAAAAAAGAAGAAGAATAAATCTAAACCTCGTCTTCGTGGGATTTTTTTTTTTTTATTTCTTGTATGTTTGGACCGTTTGGTCTTTCTTATGGTGGTTATTTCCCTTTGTTGGTTGGGTGGTTATTGCCTTTGTGGTTTTTGGGCTATGGTTGATTGTATGACATGGATGCTTCTGGGCTCCTATCTGATGTCGTAGTTGAAGTTATTGTTTCATTTTCCTTTGTTATGCTTGTTCTTTCTTTATGTTTTTACAGGTTATTGTGGTATTTTGCTGCTTCAGATTGTTGGGGTTGATTACTACTGTCATGTCGCTCATTCCTTTTGTGGTTACTCTGTTGGATGGCTTTAGGCTTTCTTGCTAGTTTGCTTTTTTGGTTTTTTTTTTTTTTAATTGTAATAGATTGAATCATCGGCTAAGGGTTTCTCTTGTAGGTTTTACTTTTAGATAGCTGAGGGTTCATTAAGGACTTCTTTTTTATTTAACGCATAGGCCCCTCCATGAATTTTTTTTAAAAAAAAAATCTATTAAAAGTAAAAGCTTCTTATAGTTTTGGATTTTCCATGATTTTTATTAATACAAAAAAAAAAATTGTCAGATTTTCTAATATGGATCTGCTTGAAGCAAGCTCGGCCATAAAATCCATCCTCAGTTAAGATAAAGGCAGGTTCAGATCCTTAACGCTTAGCATATCATTTTAAAACATATTGATTATTTGATAAAAATCAAAGGTTGATCAAGTTACAAGAAACAATTTAGAAAGTTAGTGTGTTTGAATGCTACAAGTGCATTCATGTTTGAGCTAGTAATTATGTCCAAAATGTCAAATTTACTTGAGTATTTAATTAAATCAACATCAAAATCAATCCACTCTAATTTTGGGTGTAAGAGAGCCGAGCAAACTCACAAGCTAACTTCAACTCGACTTATTAACGAGACTACGGGCCGAGCTTGTCGTGCCTATGCTCAAGCTCAAGCCAATACTATATTACTTTTTTTTTAATTGAGCCCCCAATCTTGAGCTTGGCATAACTCGACTTGATTACTCATTGAACTACTTGATTTGTGAATCCATGTATCCCTTCAATCTAGGCAATCTAAAATTTGAACTATAGGCCTGTTTTGATAATTCAATTTTCCTCATTTTTCGAATCATGACTTGTAGCATCTGCCTCCCATTTTAAGAATATTGACATGTAGTCTCTACCTCTGATTTTGCAAGTCATGAATCATGATATTATGTTGCTAAAACTTTATTCTCTACTTCTCCCATTTCTAATTTCTTTGAAGAAATCAATGAACTGGAGGCAGGCTCCCACCACAGGTTCTCTAGATCATTCTCCAACAAGCTCTCTCCAAAAGCTCCTTTACAATAATTGTCTCATCATTCCTTCTCCATAAGGCTCTCTTCTACCACTAGCCTCATTGGACCTTCTCTAACGAGCTCCCACCATGATTTTTTTTCTTCACAGGCCATCTCAAGTAATTGAGTCGAACTCGAGCATTGAAATTGACTAATGAGCTAAGCTCAAGCTCAATGTGCAACTCGAATCGAGCTCAAGTTCAACCCAAGGTTTAAACATATAAGCTAAGCTTCAGCAAAATATGACTTAAACCCGATTTGACTCGATTGCATTCCTACTCCAACTTGAAGAGAGACCACCAATTCAAGTCAAAATAGATTTGATATATATTATAAGCATATAATTGTGTATGTTTGAACACTTACGATGATTGCTCATTAGCCCCGCCAACTAATTAATCGAAACAATTATTTTGTTGCCCACTCATTAGACTTGGCTTCAAATTCGCAGTTAGGTAAGTGGGCGACCTCTGAGAGAGTGAGCATGCAAGTCTTCACTACCCAAATAGTCCATCATTTTATCGAGTATTTCTGGGTCCCTGCCATCGTTGGCTTCACTTCTTAATATGTTAGAAATTTAATTTAAGAATTTCCCATAATAATTCAATAAATTGATTTCATCTCTATCTGAAAGTCATTTCTGAAACATTGAAACGCGTCTATTATTTATATTTATTTTCAAATAATGGCGACGCGTTCTGTATGTCTGATTATGACAAATTCCTTACTCTTATTGAATGACAGCGTTGAAGGGAAAGCTAATTCCACTTTCTTTGTACTGCAGCTATAAAAAATGCAGCAGTGTTGTTTGTTTGTTGTTGGCGTGCATATAAATAGAAATAATTCTATCCTGTGGCTTCAGGTTTTAGCTGCTGTGTCTACGTGATTAATTACAAGCATATTTTTGTTATAAATTAATGAAAATGGCGTGCTTAACTTTCTGCATTATTTCTTTGTTTTTCCTTTACAATTATTTAAAATCAGATATACTAAGAGTAATTATTTTTTAAACTAAGTTTATGTAAAAATGATTAAGTTTAAGAGCTAATGACTATCATACTGTAAAAATGGATCTGTGAGATTGAATGGGGTTTGAATGCTTGATACATGATGATGATGAAATACTTTCATTTGATATGAAAAAGATGAGTGATGTGTTATTAAGGGGGAGAATATTTAGACATGAGTAAGTTTAAATTTAATCATATATTGAAAAGATAAAAATAAATTGGAGTAAAAATATAAAGTATGTAGTTCAACTTCTCTTACTTTTAAGTTCCTAGTTCCATACACAATGATAAATGCGAAAGTAAAATGACAAAGGTGATCCATCATAACACATTATTTTTTGCAAGAAAAAAAAAAGTAAGCTAAATCTAATTTATCCTTTTGCGTGTCTCATGGCAGCCAACTCTTTATATTGTGGGGGATCCCTAGTGCAATGATCACTCTCTTTGGGACCCATTAGACCCTTGCCTTCACTCCCAGTTGCTTCATCATTGATACATACTCCAAAAATTATCTTGATCGGGCACGAATCTCGAGGCAAAATCAGTTCGGAAACTTCAAAAATTAAATTCGAGAGCATATGAACTCCGATTTCAGCGAACTTACAGTCAAACTGAGCGTCTCGGAAATGCGAATCCAACGACACCAAATTCGACCCAATTCGAGCCCAAATGAGTCCGAATCAAGGACCCGAAGCGCTGTTGGAAGCTTCAAACCGCAATTTGAGTTACCAAACGGTCTTCGATTTTAACAAGCTTATACTCGAATCGAGCGGCTCGATGAGACGAATCCAACAAGCCCAAGATCGCCAAATTCCGACATCACTAAAAGCTTCAAATGTCCAACCAACGGTGCACGATTGTAGGATTCAATATCGGCCGTTCATTCAAACCACTCCCAATTCGCCCCTGATCTCACGCCTATTTACGGGCTATGCCACTCCAGAAAAACTATAAATAGAGCCCTCATTCTACACTAGAGGGACTCAAGTGAAGAGAGAGAAGAAGAAGGGAAGAAGAAAAAGGGGAAAAGGAGAATCCCCTCCTCGATCACCGCCGGAGCTCTTCCTGCCGCCCGAACACGCCGGGATTCTGCGTGGTATTCGGGAGAACGCATGAATTCTTTCCAACTTCCACGTGATGCTTCCCAATTTGCAACAGAGTTCCCTTCTAACGCTGAAACTCCGCCCAAGTGAAGCCGGAGTTCTCCTTTGCCACCAATAGACGTCGGACTTCTACCCGATGTCGAACCTTCACTCTTCGCCAAGTTTTACTACGGTCCTCCTGACTTACGTCG